TAATTTTCACACATATCTGAGGTAGTCTCAGAAAAGTGCTAGTTTTGAGTTTATTAACCGTTGGATCGGAGTGAAATTTGGTCAGCCCATTTGGGACATCCAAATCGTTAATTTCAACGGTTGGATCATCATTTTGATCTCCGAGTTGCAAGTTATTAGGTACGTTTTTAACTTATATCTTTTGGATTTAGCAGATAGAGTCCTGAATAGTAAATTAGTGTTTTAAGGTTCAGTCGCCGTTAGATTGAGCTATAATTTGGAGGATAGTATCATGATAGATAGGAAATTAAATTCAATGGTTAGATTAAGGGTTTAACTTCTGTAGTGAGAATAACCTGGTTCGTACTAAGTCTATTTGTCTAAATCCTTCGAAGATGGAATATAAGTTATAAATTTACAGTTTGTCTATTTACATTATGAATTTGATGATTCTAATAATATAATCTAATAATTAAAGGATATTTAAGTAAGGAAAATTTAGGAATCGAGTCTAAATCACACACATATATACGTTCTCATTCCAAACCTCAGAGAAATGTCTTTTAAGCTAGAGTTCTGAGTAAAATTAAAGCTTTTAGAGGAGGAATTAGAGGCTAGAATTTTGTAAGTAGCCTACTCTAATACTATAGAGATAATATTTTAATTTTGTTTGTAGATATAAACTCTATTGTGGCATTTTCGAGGTTGGACTCTGGTTGTAGTTCACTGTTAGCTAGGAGACCAGGTAACTAAATTTCTATCTGTTGCATGCTCTAGTATGAAGTTGGTGAGCGGCTTTATAACTAATTCTATAAAAGTATATTACATTTTGTATGAACTGTCTTGTGGGATGCTATTTTAAGAAAAAGATTGTCATAGTTTGTATTGCAAGAAATTGGTGATCATGATTATGATGTGTCATTATGAAAATTGTTGATTATGCATATAAATGTGTCATTTTGAACCCTGTGCATCTATTTTGGGTGGGGAAAGGAGATAATTGGAGTTATTGAGGTTGATATACTTGCCACGTGGTATTAGCCTCCATACGGAGCTCTATGGTTGGCTGCTATTATTGTCCCACTAGTTCTTCGAGGGACTGCGACACCCCACTAGTTCTTCGAGGGGGGACCCATGGTCCAACGAGTGCTCTGTGGTCTTTGGCCGGTCCACATCATTCGTGTGGTGAGCTTGTCAGAGTTGCCAGTCAAATGGAAAGAATTTAGCCCATGGGTCCAGTCGGCGGAAATAAGGAGGATATAAGGATGGATTTGGGTTCAGGAATTGCATATGACATGAGATATTCATTGATATTTATATCTTTTAAATAAATGACAAGTGTGTTATCTCTTTTGAAATGTATAAATTGTATGAGAGTGGTGGAAATATTTGTCTTATATGATTATTGTGAGTTTAAATGTTAAATAAATATTTATCAATTATTATTAACTCTGTGTATCCCACCTGACACCTCGCTAGCCCATGCTAGGGTGTGTGATAGGTAGGGATTTAGTTACTGAGACGTTGTCTCATCCCTATTGTTTAACATTTTTCAGGTGAAAGCTTTAAAGGAGGGATGTCAGGGAAGGCTCAGGAGGAGTAAAGCTACATTAGCAACTTGTAGCGTCTCCTTGGTTTATGAGCTATGTTGTATCCTGTATATTGCCACCTTAGGATAAATTGTTTTTAATTGATTCATGCATTATTATTTCTTATGTCCTTTGAATGTACTATTGTGGTATGTGTGTTGATAGGCGGCCAGAGGCCTAGGATCGCATATTCGCATGTGATTTGCTTATAAATTTATTATAAAGTATGAATTAAGATTTAATTCTTAACATTTTGATTTATGAACTATATTATATGTTGTATTATAACTATATTAGATAAGATTAATCTTTTCTTATATAGTTTGTATTTGAATAAGTTAAGAAAAATTCTTTTATCCGTGATAGGATGTATGATTGGGTGCTGCTCTTTTCTATCACGGATAACAATATTATATAATTAGTTAATGTAGATGATTGTGATATAATTTGAGTTTGTATTTAGCATAGTTTGGTTATAAAATGTTATTTCTTAAAATTACTATGAAAAAGTTAAGTTTATCTGTTTATTTAGGGTGGTTGTTTCATTTAACTTTAAGATTATTTAGTTATAATTTAATTAGTTATAGTTAGAAGTTATATTATCTGATAAAGTTAGTTGTTAACAGACATTGCTAAGGTTGTTGACAGTTCTCTTTAGGTTATTAATACTTATTGTTGAGGTTGTAAATGGATGTTCGCATTAAAATGTTGCTATAATCCTATTGGGTCTAGTTAAAATTCTTAATGATATCAAAAGCTTCCCATTTTAGTGTTAAAGTTGTTGTATTATACTATTTGGTTATAATTTACTCTTATGCGGAGGTTATATAATTCTATAAAGTAAGTTGTTAACGGATACTGCTTAGGTTGTTAATGCCCTTTCATTCGGTTGTTAATAGTCGCTGTTGAGGTTGTAAATTGATCTTCCTATCAAAATATTACTATAATCCTATTGGATCTAGTTAAAATTCTTAATGATATCAAAAAGCTTCCCATTTTAGTGTTAAAGTTGTTGTATTATACTATTTGGTTATAATTTACTCTTATGTGGAGGTTATATGATTTTATAAAGCAAGTTGTTAACGGATACTGCTAAGGTTGTTAACGCCCTCTCATTGGGTTGTTAATAGTCGCTGCTGAGGTTGTAAATCGCAATGACAGAGCAAATGTGAATCTGGAATATAAGGGGTAGTAATGTCATTTTACAAATCGAAAATATTACTCTGAGGTCCCTTGGGACCTGTCAGTGATTTTGACATTTCGTAGGACCTCAGAATAATAAATTGCCTTCTGTGGGACCTATACGTAATTTTCTCTAATTTTAACTATTGATCATTCACAACTTTTATACAAGTATTAACTATATTTTACGAGTTACTAGGAACTTTCATTTGACAAGTAATAAGGCTACTGACTATTGATCATTGGCAATTTTTATATAACTACATTTTATTTGCCATTAATAACTTTCATTTAACAGATAATGATATAACTCTTTCAAGTTATTCACAAATTTTATATATGTATTGATTACGTTTCATTAGTGATTAACATTTTTCATTTAGCCAAATTGAGAATGCCCACTTTTTGATGCCTTTTACCAATTTGGGAATATAAATTAATAAGTGGTGATTTTAACATAAACATTTGGCGTTAAAATTAAAGGTGACCATTGATTTGCAATCAAAGAAATGCAAGAAATATATAAATTAATTCAAAAATCGTGATTATTAAATTGCTAAACTTTTTCTAAATGTCAAATTTTTTCCAAACCAATAAATGAGGCATTTTGGCCACAAAAATTGTTAATAACTAATAAAAAAAAAAGTCAATACCCATATAAAAATTGTGAATGATATTCAGTCAATGACCTTATTACTTGTTGGATTTTTTTTTTTTGCCAACTATTACTTGTTGGATAAAAGTTGTTAATGGCTCATGAAATGTAGTTACTACTTGTGCAAAAGTTGTAAATGATCGGTTCTTAAAGTCATGTAGTTAATTTATATATTTTTTTATTATTTTAATTACAAACCATTTTGCTTCAATTTCAAAATCTCATTACTTAGGTTGAGCTTCTCTTTTTGTTATTTTTAAGCGTTAGCATTTCACATTTTCAATTTTCTTTTCTATCATTCTCCCTGTTATTATATAGGTAATAGTTATTCATAGCATTTCACATTTTCAATTTTCTTTTTCTATCATTCTCCCTGTTATTATATAGGTAATAGTTATTCATATTGATGAATACGATTCGGGCCTTTGTCATTTTTAGGCCGAGTTGATTGATGACGTATGATGTGTCTCTCCCGTATGTTTGCCTATGTTCTTGTGATGGGCTTAGGATATTGGGAGAATTACGACGAGGTTCTAAATAAAGAAAACAATTAAAAAACAAGTCTTAGAGGTTGTCATTCTTATTACAGGACTTGTCATTATAGGCTGTTGAGGTTGTTATTAGGACTTTTTGGTAATTATTTTTCTTCCGTGGGATTTGGTTGTAATTCCCCCTAGGATATTCATGATCCTACCCCCTATTGTTAATATAAGAATTAGTTTGAATTAATTTGGATCTAAATATAAAACCTCAATCTATTTTATCTCTCCAATTTATCCTTTTTTCTAAAAGTAATTTTTATAATAATTGCACATGTTAAATGTTCTATCAAATAGTAGTTTTACTTAATAGACATGATTAGTAAGAATATTTTAGGGAGATAACATCTATTTATTACAAATAACTAACTTAACAAACTTTCTTAATATATTCAAATTAGTCAACTTACTCTTATATTAATGATCAAGAATGGTATTAGGTTTGAATTAAAGAGTTGGCAGCTGACTTGATTGTTGAGCCCATTTGTTTGGCATCATGTATTCATGTTAATTGGTACTAAACTAACTTATCAATTTTAGCTTTAAGATATTTGAATTAGTTTTTTAGAAGTAATTTTACAATATATGAAATGAGTATGTAAAATGAGTTTCATCTTGACTTACATAAACATATTTTTTTAAGTAATTATAGGGTTGCCAAGCCCTTCCTTTATGTGAGAAGGGAGGTAAATGATTAAAGAGATGTTTAAATAAAAACCAAATCATTATTTTAAAAAAATTTATCCCAACTTACGTAAAAATATTTTTACGAAGCCCTGTTGGGAAACCAAGCGCCTAAAAGTTCTTTAATGTTTTATGAAGGATCTATGCGCTTGGAAAATAAACATTCCGCTATCCCACAGAGCAGGTGGACGCCGGACGAGCTGCCTGGCTATCGGTTCAAACGCTTTCTCCGTTCCCATATTCTCTTGCACGTGTTTAACGCCTAGGCTCCGCCTGCCACGTGTCCAACCCAACCTTTGTGCTTTTTTTTTTTTTAACCCAACTTAAGAAAAAAAAGGTAACCCAGCGAACAAAAGGTGGCGCGCGCTCCCAGAGTCCCAGACTAAGCGCATTATTGTACATACAGTGGACTCCACTCGACTTCTCTTGTAGTCTGCATCTGCAATCTACATCTCTAGTTGCAAAGATCTGGGGCCGCAATGGCGACTCCTACACCGGAAGCCATTGAAAACTTCATGAGAATCACCGGATCTTCCCAGTTCGTCGCTATTCGGAAGTTGGAGGTGAGTTTCTCTGTCTAATATGCTAATTATATTATACATTACCTCTTATAAACAAGAAATTACTGTTAAATCGTTTTTCATTTGGATAAATGCACTGTTCATTATTTTATCAGGCAGCATCAGCGGCACCGTTTTAGTTCATTTTCGCTCTGTGGCTTCTTTATCTGATTCATTTTTCTAGCTAAGCAGACATTCTAGAAATGCATCACATGGCTGATGAACCAAATATCAAAACAGGAGAAAATGTGGCAAAATGGTACAAAAAATGAGCATATTTATTGGACTAAAGTTAATTGTTTAAAGAGAGGCATAATCTGTAATTGTGGATAAAGTATAAGGGTGCGGTTGAATTATATAGGTTAATTCTTTTAATCGATTTTCATTACTTTACTTACACTGCTTTCCTCAACAAATCTTCTCATTTATGCCGGAGGTCGTTTTAGAAGAAGACTCCATGAGCAATGAGTTTTGAAAAATTAGAAAGGAAGGTGAGGGAGGAAGCAATATAGAGAAGAAAACGTCAATGGACATGATATAGATACCCAATGTCAATGCTTTGACTAATGGCTGGTCAGAAGCATGATTCTTTAATGAAAGGTATTGTTAAAATGTCTATGATTTAGGATGAATTAATCTGACTGTCAATGCTTTGACTGATGGCTGGTCAGAAGCATGATTCTTTAATGAAAGGTATTGTTGAAATGTCTATGATTTAGGATGAATTAATCTGATTAAGTTTTGTTTCTCACTTAAGTACAAGTATGTAATTATATTTCATATATATATATATATATATATTAGTTGAATAGTTATTGCCTGGTGATTCATACGCATGGAAATTAGGGATGAAAATTTTGGGTGAGCCCAGTTCTTTGGGTCTGGTAAGATTACTGTTGACTGCTATGGGGACAGTCGAGAAAAGCCTGAATAAAACTAACTGGGGATATAGCCGGGTCGGGTCATGCAACTACTCATCAGTTTTCACCATGTACAGGGTCAGCTTCAGAACTATTTTTTTAAGGGCATTATACATCAAATTCGAAGGAACTCATGCCTGGCCTGCTACACGTGCTATGGGGTATTAAGTAGCTGTAGAAGGTTCTATTTTCCTTGATGGACAAATGGTCTTGAAAATATGACATTAAGCATGGCGTGCTTGGATGAAAAATGGGGAGTCAACAGTGATTTATGTGAAAAATGGAGACGAAAGGAAGATTGGAGGACTTTTGAAATTTATATCTGATAAGAGTAGTGATTTATGAGACATTTTTTAAAATGAATGTCGGGGCTTCTTCACTGAGGAAATTCTTTTTAAGATTGGAGATCGTAATGAATGCCAGTTCTGTATTTTAAATGTTAAGGCAAGTTGTCCTTGCCTATTGAAATACTAGTTTCAACATGTATTCAATGGATTTGGAGATTGACTTGGTGGATGTGTTCTTCTCTTTTACTTATGATGCTTCAGAACTAACTAATAGATCATACGAGTGTAGCCATGGCTATTTACATTCTCAGGAATTTCTTTTTGGATGAGTATTTAGAAAGATCAAATCTGTAAATGAAATCACGTTTCAAATTGGGAATTACTACGATTGGGTTTGTAATCAGAGCATATCCTTTTTCTGTAACTATCTTCTTTGTGTGTTGTCCATGTCCATTATTATTGTATTATTTTGCTTATAATTAATTTCTCGGTTGGACACTATCATCTGGGTTAGTTACATACCGGGTATTTTTAGCATAAGTCCAAACTCTTACACTTTCATATTTTGACTGGTAAGCAGGAGTATGGAGGCAATCTTAATGAAGCTGTCAATGCTCATTTCATTGAAGGGGATAAACACATGTATGGAAAATAATTCATGATCTTTTTCCTATTTCCTTTCAATATTTTTGTTAGAACCTAAACAATGTTACTTCAGATACCATGAGAAATTCTGAGTTTTCTTCACCTTTTCTTTTATTTACACGTTTGTTTGTTGCAACTATCTTGTCCAGCATGGGGCAAAATCTTACTGCTGGTCCGCAGTATAATCACATGGATGTAAATAATCAAAACCATGCCGGATCATGTGGACTTTTGCCTTTACTCTCTGCTGCGAGAAGGTTTCGACCTTCACTACTACTTGACTCAAATTATAGGAGAGAACTGAGGGACCTGTATAACAGGATTAGCGCTCCTCCCCATAACGGTCATGCACCATATGCTTCACACCCAGGAGAAGTGAGGGGAGTTCCTGTGGGGATCAATAGTACATATGAGCAATCCCATTATTCAGGATTGAGCTCTTCAAGTGTAGACGTGACGGGAAATCCCTTATCATATGGTCAAGGAATTTATGGGGCAAATGAATTTCAAAGCAATTTGAACTTAACTCAGCCAAATTTCTCACACATACCAAATAATGCTACAGAGGAGGCAATGATTCAAGCTGCAATCGAGGCTTCAAAGTTGGAGATCAAAGAGAGTGCTTCAAGGAGGCAATTGGGCACTCTTAATGTATATTATATCTTAAAGCCTAGATTTTCACCGCTTTCTTTATGCTCTCTAAAGTCTCCCCCCTCTCTCTTTATTATTAATATTCTTTCAGGATTTAGTAGATGGTAGGCTTCCCCAAAGTATCATTCACCAAGAAGATGAAGATTTAGCTCGTGCAATTTCATTGTCCTTGAAGGTTTTGAAATCATATAAGTATTTTTATTATTTGCTTTCTCCATCTTCTTGGTCCTTTATTTAATTACCAATGAACTCAGATGGCAGAGCAAGAGCAAGCAATGTATGAACATATGGCAAAACTAGAAAATGAAAGACTAGGAGGAGTACATGATAGGCCAACCATGAGAGAGAATGCCAACATGAGTGGATGGCAGGTGCATACTTTGTTAGCTGATGATTGTTTTTCAATGTACTCACACAAGACACTTGTGCGCTTAAGATGAAATACTTGCATGCCTTGGCAACAACAGGTGAAGACCTATATTGAGACTTTGGGAGGCCATAGTCCTCACAAGTTTGCAACTGAAAGGGGGGAAAAAAACTTATTTACTTTTTACTTCTCCCTCCCTTTTCTGAAAGTCTGGCCACCACAGAAATTTATGTTATTTCTCAGAAACCCTCAACTTTATTCATTCTGGCTCTTCCCACATTCTATTTCCAGTTCTTGCTGTTGTGATGCATAACATATACTGATTGAAAAGCTAGGCAAATACTGATAAAATTATTTCAATTTATAGGATTTGTCTTGATTCTGTGAACTTAATCTTGCAAATCTAAAGTAAACTTATTTGGATGATTGGGTCAGAGATCGTAGAATTATGATATCTAATGTGAAGTTGACTGCTTGAAACTTATTTTCAGTCAGCGTATTTGTTCTTAATTTCTTATTGTGTGTATTTGGTGGGAGCACTTTAGAGCATAGGAATGACACTTTCCTATGGACCTGTGCGGTTAAAAAGCTCTACAGATGTTTCTTCTAACAAATGAATATTTTCCAAGTAAAGCCAGGAACCTCATCCAACAGAGGTGGAACCCAAAATGTGGCACAGCCTGTGATGGGTGCTCCATTGAGCGGCACTGCTGGTAGTCATCTTCAGGGCAATGAAGATGTACTTATCACTGAAGAGGTAGCAATAGAAACCCAAGATAATTTGATTTGCTCTTTAAAATTTGCATGTAAAAACCACCGATGTTATGCTGATATTTTGTTGGATCCTTTTGGGAATGTAGTGGGGTAATATGTCATCTGAAGAGCTTAATGAAGCAGTTTTGCTTGAGACTGCAATCTTTGGTGATACGCCTGATCACACTTCACAGAATGTGTCACCTTTCCCTGATCTGCAACGTTGTCCAGAAGGAATTGTGGATCCTAATGTGCAGTTTTCCCCAACTGCAGCATCACTGTCATTAACAGCAACTCGGTTGCTAAGAGAACAACAGGTTTTAAATTCTTGCCCGCAATGGCTATTTTTGTGTTTAGTGTGCACAATGTGACAGGATAGCATGATGTTTCTAACTTGCATGCAGGATGCTGAGTATCAAGCATCACTGCTGGCTGATAAACAAAAGGAGTTGAATGCTCTAAGACAAGTTGAAACTCAGCGCTTAAAGGGAGAAGAATCATGCAAGAAGCTTGAAAGGAAGGTAATAAATTTGTTAAGTTTCTTGCTTGTTAAATTGTTTTGTTGGTGTAAGCTTAACTATATAACTTTTATTCCTTTCTGATTAGGATGTAATGTTGCTCAAGGTTGTAGATTTCGTAGTTGCCTGACTTTCAAGCGTTTAGTTGTGGCATTTTACTAATCAGTAATGCTGGTTAGATATTAATGTAGAATTCAATAACATGAGTATAACTAGTGGTAACTAACAATGCAAGTAATTGCCAACTTGATAGCTTGTCTAGAAGAATTTCAGCATTACACAACTCACATCATCCTTGTTTCTGATATTGAATCATGCTAGTAATTGCCATCTTGGCCTTGATCAGAGGATGACGTGGTCTTGGGTATAGGGCTATGGGCTGATGCCTTGAGTTTGTATGACTTCCGATGTATCAAACAATAATTCTAAATTTAATATTAAACAAATATGTTGTTTTATCAAAATAATTTGGTAGGAGTATGTTGACATGTTGATTGCAAACTATTTATTTGGAGGACTAAAATCTTCTAAAGATGAATTTGTGGTTCTAGTCATAACTTCATTTAAATGTAGTTTTGTTTGACCAAAGAGGAAACTCCATCTTATCTATACAGTTCTCTTGGTGGAAAACTTCATGATTGTCTTCTTTGTTGATCGTATTAAATGATGTAAAGGGGGGGGCCTTCCTTGACAATATTTTAAAGGGATTGGTCTGAGGGATAACATTAGTACACTCATTGTTGCGTTCTGTAGTTTTCCATTTGTGGTTATTGATATCGCCTTGCAGGGAAGAATTTTGTCCTGTTCTGTAGTATTCTGGCTTTGGTATGGTCTCGGAAGGTTTTTTTGGGGTGAATATCATAGCAGACAGTTTTGTTCTTTATGCTGTGGAAATATATGGAACTATTAAATTTTGAAGTCATGTACCTTTTTTCTTTTTGGGGTATTTATGTACGTGCTGATGGTTGTAGGAGGAGAAAATGTTTGGTAAGAAAGAAACTTTTCTTCCTGAGGAACCCCCCATCGATGATGAGAATGCAATTACTATTGTCATTCGAATGCCAGATGGTAGTCGGCATGGGCGTCGATTTCTTAAGACTGACAAGCTTAAGGTAAACTATTATCAGAATTTCAAAGCTGTAGAGTTGACGTTCATTATAATTCAAATAATCTTTATGATGAATGAGATCAAGTATTGAAAAAGGTTAATATATAAAACTACAGTTCCTATATCCTAATTGATGTTCTCACTTTGTCACACATGCATATATGGAACCGTTTTATATTGCTTCTTAATTTGGAGGAAAATAATTGCTTATCTTATTTTTCAAAGTTAACCCATTTAGGGGAAAATGTTCAAGTCTGGATCCTCTCTATTTACCTTATGGATTGTCTGATAACAATCACGAGATAAGGTGCATAGAGCATGTCAGAGGGAGACTTTTGTAGATTAATGCACTTATTGTACATTGTTGTTTAGTTGGGATGCATGGCTAACAAACTGTGATTGTGCAACTGTGTAGCTTATTTTTGATTTCATAGAAATTGGCGCAGAACTGAAGCCTGGCACCTATAGAATTGTAAGTGTTCCTTTCTTTGTCGTCTGATTTTCTGTATTGAACCTTCTTTGAAGTCTAATATGGCATGATTTCTTACAACTGAGTAATCAAAGAAGTTCTTTAGTTGTGTAATATTCCCTTCTCTCGTGGTATTTAATAAAAAGTGTCGAAGTGATTGAATTTTTCCTTTAACACACAGACAGAAATGTGTATGTTCACTGGGGAAAATGCTTTTGTCCTCAATTTTATGTGGAATCTGGGGTGCGTTTGGTATGGGCAATTTGGAGAGAAGGGAAGGGAAAGAGATGGATTTAGCTCCGTTTCCCTTATTTGGCAATCCAAATTTGTAGGAGGGGAGGGCAATTTTCATAAAATTTTCCGTCCCCTCCCCTTATAACCCTCCTTTTTGGGGGGATTTGGAGGGAAAAGGTATATTTTTATCTTGCTTTGACTAAATTGTCCATGGCTATTTTTAATATTTCCATCCTACCCTTTTGCCTTTCTTCCTCATCTCATCTCACCCAATATGTATATATAGTTATATATTTATTTGTGTTCATTGAACTGTCAAATTTTTTAAAAAAGATTTTTTCAATTAAAAATGATCAATGGAAATTTTAAGTTAAATGTTAAAAGTTTAAAATTGTATTCCAGTGTCAAAATACTCCGACCAATATTAAGCAAAAATTGTTAATTAAAAACCTGACAGTTGACTAATTATACTAAAAAAAATTGTTAACTAACAGTGCCATCAAAACTGATTCTTTTAATGAGTTATGTGTGTTCGTGTGTTTATATTATATATGTGTGTATGTATTAAGTTTAGTTATTATTGTGTATATATATCATAGTTATGATATTTATAATTATTATATATATACTGTAACTATGATTATAAATGATACTTTTATATACTAAATGTAATAAGTAATTTATTATTATATTTTATTAAACATTATGAAAGTTGGAATATAAAAACAACTTAAATAGAACAAGGATAAAGTTGTCCTTGTAAAAATATTTTTCCTCCCTTCCTGTCCTAAACCAAACAAGGTAATATTAAAATCCACTCCTTCCTCTTCCTTTGATCAATCCAAACAAAGTAATATTAAAATCTCTCCTATCCCCTCACCTTCATTTCCTCCATTAAAATCTCTTCCCTCTCCTTCCTTCCATTGAGCCAAACAGACCCTTAGTATCATCTACATCAGTCATCGGGCAAAAACCATTCCTATCTTGAAAAGAAGTCATAAATGGAGCAAAGTCATTTTTCTCAACGCAAAAAAAAGTTCACATATTTCAACATTTGCTTAATACCTGATTGGATTTAATTCCAGTAGTTTGAAATATATCTTGTTTTCTGTACTAGTGGTTTTTCTTGTTCTTTTTTTTACATCGTTGTACTCTGTGGTTAGGTTTCTAAATATTACAAATTACTTTATGAAAGAATCTAATAGCAAATGGAAGAAGCTGATGGCAAATGCATAAAGAAATTTATCCAGGTGTAATTCTTTCTAATAAACATATAATTGGATTAAATGGGTATTTGAATAGGTGGAGGAATTTTTTTATTCGTCCATTATATTTCATATCATTGGATGCTTGTGTTTGAGATCATAAATGACAATAATTTCTTGTATATTTGGTGAATAGGTGAAGTCATACCCCCGACAATCTTTCAGTATGGATGATGGCTCATTTGCCTTGAGTAAAGTAGGCCTGACCAGCAGGCATGAAGCATTGTTTCTGGAATTAATTTAGATTTACATGTTCCTGTAAGTATTTATGTGTGTGTAGACAATGGTTCAGAAAGATGGCATTAATCTAACAGAACTATTGTGCATATTCTTATTCACAGATAGTCTTCATCTGCCTTAATTTGAATGTTCTTTTGCCTTTTAACAAATTTTAAGAAGCATGTATTTTACGAAGGAGTATAACATATCTCCTTCATAAACCTATAAGTTTATACTCCTCTGGTCCTAAATATAGGACCCTTATATAGTGTGTATAAGGATCTTATTTTTAGGAGCAGAGGAGTAGTTATACATCAAATCAAGCATTTTAGTTTTAAACTATTTGTCTCCATTTTGTTCTTTTGAAATTTAAAAGAAAAGAGGACAAGCAGTAAAATTGAAAACCTCATAGTTTTAGGTCTTGGAACTGTCTTAATCCTAATCAGAAACACCTTGCCTTTTATTTTCCGACAATATGAAGGGGTGTAAAGAGGGTACGTGTGCATATAAAAACAAGAATTATTTGCCTGATAAAAATTCAGCACAAGGGTGATTGGTGTAATTGCTTGAATAAGAAGAGAGGCGATTGTAATTTCAGCAGCAATATTGAAATCAGATATTTGATATGAGAGTTTCAATGACTTAATTGTTGCGTATAAATGTTCACTTTGCACCCAACAGAACTGGGGTTGGAAAAGAATGGATTTTTCTAGAAAAATTGAATTAAGAGATGGATCAAACTAGCTCTTGCTTTGTTCGAATGGCACAGTCCAATACTGCTTGGCTGCTAATAGTATCTTCTCTCTCCGGTGTGGACCCTCTTCATGGTTTGCAATTCTTGTTTCCCACTGCATTGCATCTGCAATGCTTTTCACCTTTACCAACACATCTACATCATCACGAAGAATGACACTACCTTTGGCCTCAAAATCCTATCCATTTCTAGAATATCCTCCATATTGCATCTGTAGCACGTGTTAGATGTAATTAGAATATCTGTGGCACATATGTTAGACGTATTTCTATTTTCACTATTAAAATTCATGAGTTTCAGAGTTTACTTTTGACCTTACCTGTTCTGATAAAGGCTGAAAACTGAATCACCATGTATGAAGTCATAAGTTCTTGGGTAGGTGGACATGGCTTCACACCTGAGAACAGATAAACGTAGTTATTAGTGACTTCATAGTTACTATGAAACTTGATACAGGGCAGAACTTGATATGCCTATTTGTCTAGACTTCAATTTTTCTATCAAAAAAATTTTAGAATCCTCTACATAAAACTGCCATTGGTGGGAAACCCATGTTTTAGAAGATTTATATATGGCTCAAGAAAGATGCAACTACTTGTTTAACAAGGCAAACAAAGAAATCCCTTTTCAGTTTTCACCCAACAAGATTTGTTGCTCGCCTTGATTTCCCATATAACTTCTAACATGCTAGTATATATTTTTCAATAGGAATAACTTTCTGACACGTTTTTCATATCTGTGAATGACTTGCTTAGTGTGTTTTCCATAAATCTAGTCTGCTTGCAAACTTTTCACCAGAAGTAAGGCTTACCAATTTTGATAGGTACCAATCAATCCACGTTCGTAGATGACACCGAGGGTATTAATATCAGCCTCGACAGGGACGATGTTCATGACCCACACTGGATCATCAACTAAAGCTGCTGCAAAGCCTCCCAAGTAAGAATTCATATCAAGCAGGTTTCTGTACCTCCCACCGTCTGCTAGCTGATAATCCATGGCTTTGTAATGTGCCACTCTCTTTTTCCATAACTCTGTATTTTCTCTAAAGATCTCTGCTGTAATTCCATTCAAACTTCCTCTTGAAATTCTTGGAGGGATTGAAGTGAGCCTGTCAGGCCAATTGGCCAATTTCCCACCACTAACTTCTTGAATGTCAGTTACCTCGGGTAGTGGGGTCAGGCAGGTGTCCATTTTAGTGTTCCTGCAATGAATCGCTTTTGGTAGTAAGCATCAGAACTTCACAAGGATTAACCAAAAATAATAAAAAAAAAAATAAATAAATAAAACACAGATTTTCATTGGAAGGCCGCAATTAGTACTCTCGTTTCTAAACTGCTTTTTCCTACATTGTAAGGAACCTAACGGAATGGAGTATCTGACAAGGCAGAATATGCAACACAAACTTTGACTGACTTATACTGACTCCTGTCTTTATTATACTACTGGTTTGGTATCACTGCTATGCTAAACCCTCTCTCGCAGCAAGAATCATATGCTTTTGTCTTTCTTTTTGAATCTCTTTTAAGTCTTTATCCAATATGAATCTTCCGTGGACATCACTATCTTCTCACGTATCCATGTTTCTTCATAGTTGAAACTGCCGGAAACAACAACCACAGTAAATCCTCATGATCATTCCATAAAGTGTTTTTTTCCCCTTTGCCCTTTTTCCAAATCAGTTGCAAGCCTGATGTATTAATATAGTTCATGAGATTTCTTCTACCAAGAAAGCCCTCTTAAAACTAAACCTATAAAGTGGGAAATTACCATGCTGTGTCCGGATCCTGTGCCTCGCAGAAAGGTCTGTTCTGAGAGATCTTTCTGGTATTCTTGCAATATGCATGATTTCTGGGTTTCTGCCATATTGCAAGATCATCCTTCTGTACCAATTTCTTCCAGCACAGGCTTCTTGCTGCCTTCTCAATCACGTCCTGTTCTTCTTTAAGACTCTCAGGTGTTCTCTCCCACCCTTTCCAGTGCTTTTCCCAGTTGATCGGGGGCCCCGACAGAATCCAATACCCACCAGGACGCAAAACTCGATCAACTTCAGTTAGGTAAATCCCATCTGTAAAACCATAAGCAATTCAGTAACAATGTTCTTCAATAACGAAAGTTCAGAACTGTTCAATCTGTATCTATGTGACAAAGGAAACGGGGTGCACCATATTGGCCCCAGGGAATGAGGCAACGTGAGCAGTGAGCCATGTCAAAAGCTCTGGAAGGGTAAGGAAGTCTCATGGAGGCAAGAACTCCAATCAAAGCAGGAACTCCACGTTCAAGAGCAAATTGAACCTGGGCTTCATGCGTGTCTTTTGGGGCAAATGACACTGTTAAAATGTCTCGAGATATAAGGTAAGCTCCCCAACTGGCCACCTGAAAAATAGCCAGTAAAATATTTCACAAAGAATCCTAAAATATAAGGATTAAGGTACCAAACTACAAATTTGTTCTAGAATTTTTTACTCACAAGCGCTAGCGGGTATTTGAAAGTTTTTTAGGAAGAGTTTAAAATCATAACAATATTATCATATACCATTAAAAATGTTAATGATCAGCGTCACTATTTTAACAGTAAACATTAATTTCTTGAGGGTAGAGGGTAATATTGTTATAATTTTAAATTTTTCAGGTAAATTTGCTTTCAAAATTTTTTTTGGATACCCAATGTTCTTATGACAAATTTGCACTTTAACCCTAAACATAAATGAGAAAAAAAAAAAAGAAGAAAAGGGAAAGAAAAAAGCCTTGAGTTTTCTATGGTGTTAATGAGACAGTGACATCGGAGTGGCTTCATTTTACAAAATGAAATAGTTATCATGCACGTTTATACTATTTCAGTGTCATATATTATTGCAGATCGCATCTGATATACTAAAGTTTGCGTAGTGATTATGGAGACATCTCTCTATTTTAATTACTCAGGTTCAATTTTATTTAGGGCTTAATGTTTCAGAATTTTTTTATACAAAAATATCTAGTCCCTATGAATTGTGCATTTAAAGATGATTTTAAGAAGATAGATAAGTTCAATTGACGGATAAAATGGCTTAAAAATATCTTTTTTTTTTCGCATTATTAATATTTGAAAAGTGAGATGAGAAAAGCGAGAATGCTACGGCCAAAGGCATGTGGAACGGCTGTGATGTATCTATGCCTTTTAATTCTTCAAAAATTTTACTTCAAAAGAAAAACACATAATGTAATGTAATGTACATATGCAATTCCTAAATTTAAAAAGAAAAGACAAATGTGCGTGGAAGTCCTGTTGAATAACACGGGAAAATATATTAAAAATACAATAATTAATGGGATTTGCCGATTTGTCATGTCTATCTGATAGAACTCTTATATGTGGTAAGCATGGAATAATCTTCATTAATTTTCCTTTACAGCACTCCCCCTATTTACCTGAATTGTGTAGTCTCATAAATGATCCTACCCTCCCAGCATCAAAGCCAAAGAATATATAATCTAGAACTTCAAATTAAAAGTTTCCCATGCCAAATAATTATAAATTTTAAAAATTTAATCTTTCTCTAAGTCATTCCAACATCAAAATTGACACATACACACATATAAAATAAAGCATTTAGTAAACTACTCAGTGAAAAAAAAATAACAAGGAGCAAGTTCAATTATTGGATCTCTTTTGACTGGTGGACTTGGCCATTACTGCTCTAAAAGTTGTTAAACTACCCGCAGCAGAAAGGCGAACCATCCGGTTCAACGAGCAAAAAAACCGGCGGTTCACAAAGAAAATTTAAAAGAAATGCTTGATATTACGAATCCGATTATGGAGTCCAAATAGTGTTCGGTTCAAGAATCGAGAAAGGAGAAGAATTCCGTACCCCACAGCCGGTGTCTATGGCGGTTCTGATAGATCCATCTTTCAGGTTGATCAGTTTTCCGATGTCGTCGATGTACGCACCGGCGCCACGTGGAAACATGGTCCCACCACCAGGGAACTTGAACCGGTCCTTTTCGAATCGGACCCAATTCTGTTTCGCCTTCTCAATTGTCAGCTCCTTGTGAGGCACGTTAGCGTACCAGACAAAGTCCCGACTCGTCGGCCACCGGAACGGAATTCGGTACCCAAAGGGCGCCGGAATCCGGCACTTCATTAGCTCCTCCTTCTCTGGGCAATGCCTTTCCCGGTAGATTAGCCTGTCCCTGTCGAATTTCAGGGACCTCTGAACGTCCTGACAAGGAGTGTACTCAGAGAAGGACGCATCGCAGGGAGGGAAATTAAAAGCACGCTCCGCCGTGGGACGTGGGTCAGGGAGGTGATGACGGGACGAGAAGTCGAGATTGACATTCAAAGGCGCCGGCGAGATTGACGTGGTCGAATTGTGGTCAATGCAAAAGGGAACGGGGACGCCGGAATTGGCTTTGACTCCGGCGGTTGATCGGAGGCTGACCAGGGGTGAATGCTGCCAGAGGCTGAGGAGGTAAAATATAGTGCAGAAGACAGTGGTGACGATGAAATAGTGAAGATTCTTGATGACATGAGGATTGTAAGAGGAATAGTAGGATAATTGGCCATTCTTGTTTGAAGATAATGATCAGAAGTGAAGAACGAGAATGTTGTTATGGAGTTCTTGGCTTCTTGTTTTGCTGGTTTAGAAGAAGAAGAAAGGCATATTTCTAAGAGAAATGGAGTGCAAATAGTAAGTACATGTTAGTTGTTAGTTATCAGTTTACGTCTCTTTCTTCTTCTCTTCCCTTTTTTTATTTACGGGAATATTCCTTCTATTAACTAACTAATTAATGAAAAATCTAACAAAATTGCAAGAAAAAAAATCATATAAATTTATAATAAATAAGGACATTCAATAACCTTAAACAGTGTACTCTACCTCACACTATATTATATTAGAAAAGGATGTCAGGTGCTAATTAAATTTGTTTTTGTTGTTTTTTGAGGTGATGAGCTACTCTTCACGGTTCTTAATGTACAATTAAATTAATTCATTTAAGTAGATTAAAATGTTAGTAAATTAGCTAATCTAATATGTTTTTT